AAAAAAAAAAAAAAAAGCTCTTATCCACAGCATGCATATATATTTATATATATAATTATATATATATAATATATATATATATATATATATATATATATATATATATTTTAATCTCCTGTACTGATAAAATGCAGAGGGCAAACAAAAAGGAAATATAGACATTGACAGACAAACAATAACAAACAAACAAACAAATTATATATATATATATATATATATATATATATATATATATATATATATAATATATATATATATATGATACACATACAAATAAAATTTCAGTGCATCAGCTGAAAAAATACTCATGAATCACTTTCAATTTTCCAAATTTACTTACAATAGTCCTAGCACCACTCTTCATCAGATTTAAGTCATGGCCAAGGTTAACATTTGACAACATCTCCAGTATGATGTCAAACTTCTCCCCTACTGAGAGCTTGTCAATATACTTGGGATCTCGATGGTTAACAACTTCATCAGCACCTGTTCTTAGTACTAACTCTATTCCTTCTTTTGAACCAGCTGTTCCAACTACATACAAACCTATGGGAAAAGTAGCAAAGGTAAATATAATGTACTTAAATTTTAAAAACAACAACAACAACAACAACAAAAAACTGGTAATACATAACCAGCTCATTGAGATTTCTTGATATCACTGAGATATTAACATTTTATGCAATAATCAAGGGTCATCTAAAATCACTAGAAACCCAATATTATTATTGACAGGAATACAAGGAGGGACACACACCTACATATGCAGACATCTTTTTCCACATGTACAAATGAACATTCATACACACAATGTCTATCAAAGCCATCCTTAACAACATACATATTTTGATGGAAATCTGCAAAAAGGTATTTAGGAAGAACAGTAACATGTAGAATCATTATCTTATTAAGGGATTTGTTAAAGCAAGATATAATATATGTTTGAGCAATCTGTAATATGCACAACATGCTAATGAATACACTTCAAGCATGTGTTTACTGTAAAGTAATGTGACTATTGAAATAGCTAATGAAAAAGGAACTTTGTAATATCTACTGAGTAATATTTTGATAATAGGCATACCTTACTGTATATATAATATGAAATTAACAATACAAATTCTTATAAAGTATTTAAAATTAATTTCTTACTTAAAATACAGGGGTTTGAGTAATGCAAAGAAAACAAATTTGAAAACTATAAAACTTCAAACGAAAAGTAACTTACTTATCAATCATAAAATATTCAGTTTATTATTTTTTTCTGGTTAAGGTAAAAACAATTTGATCGTTGCTTATGCAATCTCAAAGTGGCCTTCAAAATTGTCACAGGTTGTTATCAAATGATTTTCTAGCATTCCTAATATCATCTACATTCTAAAATAATGTCAATTATTAAAATGAACAAACTTACCAAGTTTCTTGGCTATCTGTGTGGCTGCAATTCCAACAGCACCACTTGCTCCATGAATGAGTACCCTTTCCCCTCTTTTGCCAAGGCTCTGTTAAAATAAAAAACAATAAGAAGAATGCCTTCCAATTACAACCTGACATCTTGCATCTTCACAGCCAATTGTATTCACAAAAAACTGTTTTAAATGACATGCACAGACTTACCCCACTTGGCAATTACAGTCTGTTGAGAGCTAGAGAAATATCAAAATATATGAAATATTTAACAAAATCCTGAATCAGTTTTACTCTAGCAAAGTTTGTACATCATTGCTTGTGAAAATGACATTTCAAAACATAACAGACATTGAATAAACAGTATATCATACATATCTTTATTTGATCTATTAGCAAACAATAACAAAGTACTTACTTATGGATAAGTGCTCTGTAAGCAGTAAAATATGGGATACCTATGGCAGCACCCTCGTAAAAAGACAGAGACCTTGCAAGAGGAAAAACATTTGGTTCGTCAACACACGCATACTCTGCTAGTGTCCCCATCCGGTTTGTCTGACTCGAGAAAACACGGTCTCCTCTCTGAAAAATAATTTGTTAATGACTTAAGCTGAAATTATTCCAATGCATCACTATCAAACCTCTAAGGTAACATCTGTCTATATATTCTTTACACTATGCTAATTTTACAGTATATTACTTTTTATGAGGAAAAATTGTTTTATGATTATATTTAACAAACTTTAAAAAATCCTGTGTATTTTCTCAACCCAAAAACCAAAACACCAAGAAACCCCTATCAAGAGATTTTTGTACCAAAATTTACACCAACAAAGCTTGGAAACTTACTTTAAACTTAGTAACCGAAGCTCCAACACTGTGAACAACACCTGCAGCATCTTTTCCTGGGATGTATGGCAGGTCTGGGAGCACTTTATACTGCCCAGAGCGCACATACGTGTCAACAGGATTCACCCCACTGGAATATACTTTGATCAAGACCTGAAAAGGAAATTCAACAATGATCTAAATCAGGAGAACTTTGAGGAAGGATTTATTAATAAAAAAAAAAAGCTTGAGATCAAATAATTCTAATAGATGAACCAAAAACAAATTTTACAGAAATAGGCCTAAAAAACAGTACATATTCATTTACATTTATTATTTCTTTCACTTTCTCTCCTTCCTCTCTCTTTCTCTCTGTCTACACACACACACAGACAGAGACACAGACACACACACACATCAATCTATTTGAATCAATTATACCCACAGATACATATTATAATATTCAGAGTTCCTGACCTGTTTATCCCCTACAGTTGGAACTGGGACTCTCTCCAATTTCATTTGGTCAACGCCCCCAAATTGACGTACCAAAAATGCCCTCATCATTTTGGCTGAAGTACTCATTGGTGTTATGCTGCGGAAATAGAGAATTAATGGGTGAACTGTTTCCTTTTACTCAGTGTCACTGACTAATGATATGGCTCACTAATGTAAGTTAAATCAAAGATGTATAAGCTGTTGACATATAAAGAATAAATATATATACATGACATATGGTAGATTCTACTAATACATATATTAACCCTGCATGTTAGATGTACAATCTACCCTGCAGTGAGTATGTGGAGGATTCTTTGTGTCCCACTGTAGGGGTTGGGGATGGCAGCCCCCCTTTGAGGGCGGTCATAGGGGCACAGCTCCCTGCATTAGACATGGTGATTGATTCTGTGTATATTATTCATATGTTAGGAAATTTTACATAATAGTTCCACCTAACAGATCTTGACTATTTTGGTATCGTTGGGTTCCCCGTAATAGAACACAAAGAATCCTTCTAGTATTCATGGCAGGAGAGAGCATCTGACAGACTTGGCAATGGTGCTCCCACGTGGCAGTTGTATGCTCTCTCCTGGGGTGAATACTTGGAGGATTCTTTGTGTTCCATTACAGGGGATGAGGGTGGCAGCTGGGGGCTGCTGCTCTCAACCCCTGCTGCGCCTCGTGCATTAGATAATAGTCACTGATCCTATGTATATTATTCATATTTTACATGCAATTTCCCTGGCACCATTCATGCCCTCTCCTGCTATCGGGGCTAAGAGTGTGGGGGATTTCCGCAGAATATATATTTCGAAACTAGAGAGTGAGAGGAATCTAAAGATACCAAAATTGTCAAGATCCATTAGGCAGAACTACAGCGAAAAATACCATATTTTAGCTCACAAGTTCTGTGGTACCTTTCACCCTCCCCTGCTATCTGGGCCAAGATTGTCACTAATGGAGGTGTTTCCCCAATATAATCTTGATATATTTGAAAAGTAAAGAGTGAGAGGAATCCATCTAAACCAAAATCGTTATGATCGGATATGCGAAAGTATTGTAAAATAATATCAATTTTGTAAAAATCTGACTGCCTATATTCATAAAAAAAGGAAGCGTAATTGGATAAGTGAGGGTATTCTAAAAATTACTGGATTAGGAAAAATCAGATTTTGCTTTCTTTTTTGCATAAATATAAGAAAAGGAAAGAAAAGAAAAGAAAAGACCCCCCCCCACATTCTTAACCCGATACCTGGGGAGGGCATGAAAGGTAACAGGGAAATTGCAGGGTAATATGTAAATAATATACACTCAACCAGTCACTATATTGTGTAATGCAGGGGGCTCTGCCCCCCAACCCCCGTCCAGGAAAACAAAGAATCCTCTGTGTATTCATGGCAGGAGAGAATGTTGGACTGATTTGGCATCACTGCTTCCGCATGGCAGTTGTCTGCTAGCACCTGTGGTGTATATGTCGAGGATTCTTTGTTTTCCCGGGAGGGGTTGGGGGCGTGGGTTAGACAATATAGTGATTGATTCTGTGTATCATTCATATTTTACCCTACAATTTCCCTGGTACCTTTCATGCCCTCCCCTGCTATGGGGCCAAGAATGTTGGTGGGGGGGGGGGGATCCGCGCAATAACACCTACATATTTATATTGTAGATAGTGAGAGGAATCCAACTATACTGAAAACGTCGAGATCTGTTTGACAGACTTATTCTAAAAAAAATTACCGAAATCGCATTTGAAACTCTCACCAACATCTTCCGAACATATTTGGGCTCTTTTCGACTTTTACCCAATAAAGAACTAGGTCACTGAGATTACACCCTAACCTGGTGTGAATTAGGCGAGACTTTAACCAGAACACAAAAGCCAATCTCTGAACGGTAAGAGAAAATATCGAAAATTCATTATGAAAATGATCTCCTTGGCAAAAAATACAATTTAATTCGTAAAAGCTTCCAAAAGGGTTCGTGGCGGAGAGCGTCTGTCCACACCGCATATCTCCCTTTGTCAATTCTTATTCCCATTTCTGCAAGAGAGACAAAATAGAACAGACATAGGTAAACCCCGTGTTGCCCATGAGAAAGTGTGACACTCACCAATAACGCCTTAATCAAGTGAAGCAAAGTCGCCTCCAATTTCTCTCCTGACTGCCTCTTATCGCGCGAGGAACAGCTGGCTCTTTATTTCCGTGTTGTGTAATCCCCGATGGCCAGCCTGTTATCGCGCAGGGACTAGCTGGGTCTTTATTTCCGTGTTGTGTAAAAGCGAAAGGGCAAAAAATAGATAAATGATGACTATTTACATTATCTATCGGTCTTTGATTCCCGTTCAATGGGAATTGTTTTAATTTTCTTTCCTTGAGGGAGTCACGTAAATGGTAGTTGGCATCTAGTTCAAACTCGAATTATCAGCGATAAAAATGAGACGGCATCTCCATTGTCATCGTGAACTCGGGAATAAAAGCTACACTCGCCATGACTTACTTTTTAATTTTTTTTTCGTAATGCACACCAATACCCACGCAATAAATACATAGTAATGATACACTTCTCAGATACATTAACATGTGAGTGTGTGTGTAGAATGTGTGCACAATTATAAATATATATTGCTGCATATCATTTATTCTCTCTTTCTCATATCTGCATATGTATAAATGCATATACATAAATACATATACATATATTTATATAAACACATACACAAACATAATTATATTCGTGAATTGTTGGGTAAACAAATTACAAATATTAAACGAGACACGTGTTCCAGCTTGAAATTAGTGATAGGCCTATGGTTGATTGGATTTATCATTGAATTTTCCACAAAATGAAACGTTTTTGGAAGTAGCAATAAAAAGCTGGAATTTTGTAAGTCATACAAGTCAAAACAATGAGGGGACAATAAAAAATTATTATTGAGTCTTGGACCTGTTGATTTGTAAAGATTTCAGGTATCAGTTGAATTACAGGAAATTTGAAATATGGACATGCCCTTGAACAAATATGCATTCTTTAATTTCCTTATTTCTTTCCCATTCCTTGCATTTCGGACAAATTTTACTTATTTGACTACATGAGCCCTTTCAGTGAACTAAACTTTATTCATTTCAAACATTTATTCTTCTGCGCTGCAAACTGCAATGGCCGATTAAGAAACTTTACTTAATATGGATGTTGGAGCATTTGTCCCAGTATAATATGACAGCTGAAGAATTCCCACTACCGCCTCTGAGTGTTTTAATGATCGTTCATGCATATTTGTGTATATTATTTCTCTCTCCGTTTTATAAGGAGAAAACCATTTATATATAGTGTTTCCGAATAACTACGACCTGCCATATCAAATTTTCATGTAAAACTTTGAGCCTTTTCCTAGCGATATTAAATCCTTTGTTAAATCAATCCTTTCCTTGGCAATGATTCCCCAAGAAAGGAATCATTAGTTCTCTCATCAGTGACTATAAATGGATCTCATGTTTAAAAGCTTCCCGCCATCCATACACTCATAACTTTTTCTCGACTTCTTGCTCAGTGCGATGACTGACGTTACTTAAAAGCGGGCGCCGTTATTTATATTTTTCCCTTTAATTTCTACCTTCCCTCAACGGAATATCACCTGGAATTACAGTTGAACTATCTATTTACTTCGTTTTATCTACGACGTCAGTATTTAAAGTCATTACTATATTTTAAAAACGCCGCCTATTAAAAATGTAGTGAGGATCAGGGTTGAAGCCCCAGGTAGGGAAAAGGCATACAGCGCAATGATAGAATAATATGGTGAAAAAAAGGTAAAAATGAGTTAACGATTACGACAAATAGGTTTTGATGTCAAAGGTTGGATAGCACTGTAGCAGTGTGGCGGTGAAATGGGTAAAGAGGGAAGGGGAAATGGAGGACGAAGGCTTTTCAGGACTGAAACAGAGCCAGCCTTTCATCCTTTCAGCACGGCTCTCACGTGTTAGGATAGGGACAAAAAGGGATGAAGACGAGGAGGAAAAGGAAAGGGAGAGGAAAAGGAAAGGGAGAAGAAAATGGCTAATGGTTAACGATTAAAAGCAAATAAATGTGCTAGGCATCTAAGGCCATATAGCACTATAGGGAGGTACAGGAGAGGGTGGCGAAGGGTGATAGTTACTATGCGTTAAATATCTAGAGTAATATTGAAAGGTTAAAGATGGGTTTAGGAGTTGATGAGGAATGGTTAATGGTTAAAGGCGAAATAAATGTGCTAGACATCTAAGGTCATATAGCACTATAGGAAGGTATAGTAAAGGTGGATGTCAGGTGATAGTTGCTGTGTCAACTATCTAGAGTAATACTGAAAGGTTAAGGATGGGTACAGGAGTTGATGAGGGAATGGGTTATGGTGGTTTAGGTAAGGAAATTAGACCAATTGAAGGATATGTATGCATCTGAGGAAGGAGAAGGGAAAATAAAAGACCAGTTTCGTGTAGGCGGGGCTGAGGGCCAAGGCAAGGGTGATCAAGGTCTATATAAGTACTTGTATAGACCTTGAGGGTGATCCCCTACGTTTGGCCTCCGTCTCCATCTCCTAAGACCCCCCCTCTCCTCCCACACATACAACAAGCAAGGGATACGAGGGGGTTGGGGGGAGGGGATGAACCACATTTACACCTTATAATTTCAAATTTAGCAATACTATCATATTGACTCCATCTGCCCATCACTAGTGATATTTAAATCCTCTAAGTTTTTACTTCTCAATTAATAAGCTTGATGTACTTCTTTGTATGTCTGTTGCTCTTTATTGCTGCAATGTTGGCTTTCGTTGAAGAAATTCTAGTTGTGACTGTGGTCTGTTAGCATGGGTTCTGTTTCAGACAATAAAAAAAACAAACTTGTTGCATTTTGAGGAATTCAGTTTATTCCCTTGGATTCAGTTAATATTTTTCGTCTATTTCCATTCTGTAATTTATTGTCAGTAAAAGTGTAGAAATACGTTGCACTTTTTTGTATACCTCCAACTCCTCTCTTTATCGACATTTTTTCCTGGGGGTTGGGGGGGGTAGGTTACTTATCAACCACTTCAATCTTTTTACTACTTTATCACTGACTCGATTCTTTCTTTTTGTCATGCTCCAATGATATCCAATTTTCTTTATTCTACTGGTTTCTCTTGCTTCTATTTTTAGGGGGGGGGGCGGTCACAAAAAGTTTTACATATCTCCATTACAGAACAAGCATATCACCAGATATTTGCTGAATTTTAATGTCAGTTTGTGCTCTTCTACTTTATCATTTAGCCTTTTCCATTTTTTTCTGTAGTTGAAGTTCAGTGTTATCTTTACCATCTCCATTGAAAGACGAGGTCAAGAATATTTCTCCAGAATATTTCTCCCTTGTGGAAAAAGGCATAATTGAAAATGGTCATCTTCACAGCTCGCCAGACATCAATTACCTTCTTTTTCAACCATCTCTTTTGCTGATACGTTTTTCAAGATTAATTCACATTTGCACTGCGATTGTTGTTGCAAACCTTTATTCCTTGATTTGATACCTCTTAACTTTATCAGCGATGCATCTTACACCCCTCACTCTGATGCTGGAATTTTTTTAATGTAAAGGAGAGATACTCCTTAAATACTCCGCGTTTTCTGTAGACAAAACACGCTCGCGTTTTCTTCAAGTAATGCAATTTACGGATAGACTAAAGTATTTGCTTACAAATCGTACTTTTTCCCCATATACTGTTGTGGTTGGGTTGACTCAAGATACTGTATATATTATAACCAATTTACAATCAATCTGTATACTTCGTTTATAAAAAAGATAATCTTACGTATTACATTTACACAAAACATGAAATATATAAAATCTAACTCCTTTTTTGAACGCCAATAAAAGTGCAAAGCGATAATAACCTTCCCAAATAATGTGTACATTTAATTATCTAATTCTTTCTGCGAAATTAGATGTAAGCAAGAGCAAGAAAGAAAATATTGTTCATATTTAGCCATATCACATTTATTCTGGGACTAGTGGCTTTGATAACGCTTCCAGTTATCTGTATTTCAGAGAATAAGTAAAAAATGCGAGGAATAACATTTCTTGGTCATTTCAGCAGTCTGAACTCAGGACTGGTATTGAAGAATGATGTTTGGAATTTTGTAAAAGCTTAGCCAAATGCATTTCCAGTGGCAAAACTAATGCTATATACTTAAAAAAAACAACATCATCTAGACTTTAATAACAATCTTGCCGACTTTTATTTATTTCTAAGGATTGTCAACTAACATTTATTACCGTAGCATATTTTACAGATTTCTTCCAATGCTCGAGTTAGATATGTCCATTTTGAGTGACCAATTCTGTTAAATACAAACCCTATACTTTCATCAAAATTTGGACCAAAAGGGAAAATTTAGAGACATGCTTAGCTGTAACACTTTATTCATACATATAATCCGAAAATGAAGTACACTTTTAAATTACGACAATTAACAGTTTGAAAAGGTCATTAGCTTTGTGACTAAAATATTTTCCCGTCTGGCAAAGTACACATCACCATTTAATTACACGGCATAGCAAACATGACCAGAAAAAGCCTCTTAGTTGCTGCTGGTGATGTTTCCTCTCACCAGAGGTTAGGGATGAGATGCCTCTTCTATTAGATATAATATATATAACAAGGTGCCTACAATTACTCTCTGATCTTGACACACATTGCCTGATACCGTTGCTATGTCACAACCTATCCAGAGATACACGAGTAGTTCAATGGTCAATGTTTTAAACAGAAAAATGAGAGAGACATCAGTCAGGTGTTCGAGACTCGAGGGAAAACTGATGTAAATATAATTATACCGAGGAGGGAAATACACAGGTTTCCCACTCCCTCATTCTGGACTGCTTAAGGTTCAGTACGGTTTTTCATGTAATGCTTAAATGCCATTGATGTGTACACTGTATATCAGTGCAATAGAGCAAATAATGAGTAAATAAGGTAAGCTTGATTAAACAAGTTTGATACATTTGATACATTCTCAATAAGTAGCCTTGTTCATATTCGACGATTTCTATATCTTCACATGGTATAATATAGACAAAATATATTACAATGGCAGTCACATGGTATAATATAAAACACATAAAATGTACTACAATTGCAGCTACAGTGGTTCTCTGAAGCCCCAGTCATGGTGTGTATCTCGTAGAAGTAGGACGTGTTTGTGGTGCCGCCTCAGTCGTGAGGGATTTGGCGAATCCTGTCCCCCCCCCCCCA